GATAAATTAACGAATCGCTAGCAATTTACCGATCCCTATTAACGACATATTATCGACAAATTACGTTAATTTTCATTTATAGAATCGCTTATATTGTTATTTCTTAACGAACACGATAATGATACCGAAAATTGTCGTTAAAAGATAATACCGACGTTTACCGAGTTACAAAATCCAGCTACAGCAAAAGTACTAGGGATTGCGTCCGTAACGTTACGTGTGTTTTACCTCCTAATATCCCATGGAGCCGTATTCTATGAAATTTCCGTAAAAGTTACTAGTTATTACCAGTAATGCTTTTCCTATTTTATTTATTTAACTAAATTTGACAGGTTAATTAAAACTTTTATTATAATCAAAATATATTCTGCAATTTTCTTATAAAATAAAATAAAAATGAACAATATAACTTGTTAAATAAAAAATGTTACCATTTATACGTCCGCATTTTGCGGATCCATGGGATATAAGGAGTATGTAAGCACACAACGCAATCGCACTCCGACGTCAAACAATTATCGACGTCAAATATATTTATTAATAATTTATATTTATATCAATTTGCAGATATCTAATAGCATTTAATAAAATAATATTTATTGTACACACACAATATGTAGAAATCATCGTGAATACAACAAATGATCTGTTTTCTGTTCCTGCACGAGACTACACTAGAACTCTTTTTACGTTGCGAATTACGTGAGAAATGTCTGCCGTACATACGCAATTCGTAGTAACCATGGCTGTGTTCCAAAATTGTTTGTCAGCGCTGGCAGTACTGCCAACACCGTTCCAAAAATCATCGTAGCACGCTGTGGCAGTGCTGCGAGAGGGTAAAGACGTCATTAATGTTGTCGTCATTTCCTACTAGGCCAGTCAAATTAAAGCAAAATCGACGTTATAAAAGAAAGTGAAGGGAACAGGGGTTTTTTTAGTGGGTCTTGAAAAAGGGGTCAAGGAGAGCTTAACCCCAAGTTTGCACCCCTGTAAACCTTGAGCTTTTTTAAGGGGGCTCAAAAACGTGTTTTTTTATTAAAATGGCGATAACTCGGCTGCTATTAAAGCTACGAGGTTCACTAATAGCTCATTTTGAAGGTTTTTTTATCCTCTACAAGTTAT